TTAATCTGAAAAAGTAAAAGAACATTTGAATGAGATATTTGCAGGAAGCAACTAGGTAGTTCATAATATAGTGTAGGACCTTTAAAAGCATAGAAAAAAATGTCTAGAAAGGGTTATTATTGAAGAAAACATGCATAGTATGCCCAATTTGATGCCTTGTCATCCTTTTTAACATGATTTGTCTTTTCCATTTCTCTTTGATGTACAGACTTAACAGTGCCATCTACTGAACATCACTTTCATGAGCATTTCTGCTTCAGACTCTTGTAAGCATGCTCCAGAGTTCAATATTTCACATAGGAATGGGACGACTTTCCTTTCAGTGCAGTTTGTTTGTCATGGATGAAGTAGAAACTTTCTCTGGTCATAGCGACAAATGGAGTCTGCACAAGTTGAGATCTGAAGTTGCACTTGGGGCAGATGTTTACGTGTTTGAGTGTGCATTGGGCTATGTTCTCTTCAGCTCCGAAGAGGTGTTGAGTGTTTGTGCATGAAAGAACCATATGGAAAGATACTCTAGTCACAAGTTCCCAGTCCTCACACATGACTGTAAACTTTTCTTTCTATATGAATTTAGAAAACGCTGTAATCAAAAGTAAACATTTTTGTTCTGGGAACAAAGAGACCCACTCTTTTATGAATAAAATCCTTGAAATTCATTACATATTCAATATGAGAAAAAATAGTGGGAATTACCATATCTCAAAATACAGTGAACTTTGAAAGTCTCCAGCAAAGAGAAATTGGTATAAACTTCATAGTTAGTAGGAACAAATTTAGACAAACTGATAATTTAGAAAAGAGCTAGATTGATGAATGTCTATGACAGAAATTGATTTCTAGAAAATTAACCTAGAATTCTGCAGACCCATGTCAGTTAGACTTAGGTTGGATAACGTATGGCAAAAAATATTAATGACAATGGTTTAAGATAGAGGCTTGTTCTTCTGTTTGGGAAAAGATATAAGAAGTAGGTGAGGAAGAACTGATGTGGATGCCTAAAAGATGTGGCTCCTTCTAACTTTCTTCTTGATCATCTTTAGGGCTGCCTTTCACCCTCAAGATTACGCATCATGATCCAACTAGCTTCTAGAGCTCCAACTATCGCTTCTAGGCTTTACATAGAATGAAAGAAGAAGGGAGAAGGAGGCATAGGTCTAGGAGGGCATGTGTCAGCTGTCTGTCTCTCTTTTAAGGATTTTTCCTTCACATCTCCTTACTGTAAAGTAAAGTGAAAAGATGTAGTTTTTAGTTTTCAGCTGGGCACATTGCTTCCTGGAATAAAACCGGGGTCAGTTTGGTAAAACAAGAGAGATAACGGGTAAATAGTCTCAGTCACATGGCTATGTTACATTTCTTATTTGTTACTGTACCTCAGGGCCCAAATTGAAAGTATGTTCAGATTCCAGAGTCTGATTGGGATTGGCTATGGATCTCCTAAAATAGGTAAGCTGAACTTTTGATAACAACACCACCAGGAACAGTCTCTAGCTGTCTGTGGCCAGTGGTGACTTTACAAAGATAGGACACATTAGATAAATCTTACCAATTAATTGAAAGTTGCCTGCCTCCTTCCAAAAGCCTTTGGGTTGTCTCCACTCTACCAGTTCTACTCCCTTCCTCATCTCCTTTTTCTCTCCACCCAGAGCCTTCCATTATTCTGATCTTTGCTTCCAAATCACCAAAGTTCCATCATTCCCCAAACATACTGAGCCCATGTTTCCTCAAGATTTTTGTAGTTTACTCAAAATTATATTGAGAGTATTACTTAGGACTAAAAAGAAAAAAGATTAAGTCTTGAAATGGTATCTGGGATAACAGGGCTGAGGGAGGAAAGGCTCCCTGGTGCCAGGAGCCCTGAGGCTAGAGTGGGTCGGCTGAACTGAGAAACCTGGGCACTCCCTCAGCCAGAAGATTCAAAGGGCAGGATCCAATAACTGCCCTCCTGATGCCCCTGCACAGTACCTGGATACCCAGGACTAAAAGCTACTTTGAAACAGAAATGGCACCCTTGCCATTGCTGTTGAAGGGTTCTGATGGTGTCAGGGTTTGACTCTGGAGCTGGGAATTTGGGAGCTATGAGCAATAATGACTGTGGAGGGAGTAGAACATAATTCTATCATTTCTCTTGAAGATTGGGAAGAGCACTGTGTAAGACACAGACCATGATCCACAAATGTAAGTTTAGTTCTTCCTATAGCCACATTAAAAACAGACCCAGGTGAAATTAATTTTAATAATTCATTTTATTTAATCCAAAATAGCTAAAATATTGTCACTTCAACATGCAATCAACATAAAAAAATATTACGGAGACACTTTGTAATTCTGGTGCAAAATCTGCTATGGATCTTGTACTTACAGCACCTGACAGTTAAGTCATATTCTAAGTATCCAGTAGTGTTATGGGGTGAGTGGCTGCTGTATAGATCAGCACAGTTCTAGGAAGATGTGTTACTTCAATATGTCAAAGCTACTTTCCTCTGTAGTCCCCGTGGCTCCTCTGACCATTTTGTAATCTCTCCTTTCTTTTTACTTCTCCCATTTCCCCCACCTACTTTCCCAATACTCTCTTTCTCCCTCCCCTCCCTCATTTCTTTCTTATAGCAGCAACTTTCTCATTAGAACTGAGAAAAGAGTCATGACCAAAAGGAAAAGGAGAAAAAGAGCTTAATTTTGTGGTAGAATAGAAGGGGTAGAAGAGCAAATAGCATGCAGTGCTATCCCAAACCATACCAAATTGAGCTCTAGGAAGAAACAATATTTCTACATAAATTTTGTATGGAAAAGAGACCATTAAGGCAATTTCATCCATAATAAAAAAGATATACTAACTCTTCTCTATGACTTAATTACACTCCCCCTATGTGTGTCAGATTTTCCAACAATGACCATCCTGGATTTCTTTCAGTGCTGTAGAATCTGTTCAATTCCCTGATCTTTATGAATTAGCTCTCAAGCTCACACAGGCATATGGGAAGCATTCTCAGATCCTATAGTCCTCTTTGCCCCCAGAGTCTCAACAACTCATAACTTATTTTCTTAGAGAACAGGAATGAGGAAACAGTTTCTTTCCTCTCCTCTTTCTTTCTTCTTGGATGTTTAAGAACAGTTGGGCAAAGCAGGGGTGGGGGGTGTCATATGAGAAGGTTGGTCCAAAGCAGAGCTGTGGGTTTTGTTGAGACTGAAGGCTATTCTTCAAAGTCTTCAATGTGTAGGAGTCCTCATTTGAACTCCAAGAGACACTGCATCTCCCCTAATTTCCTTATTTCCCTCCATTTCTATAATACTGTCTATTCTGCTGTTAAGTTTAACAAAGGTCATTTTTGGTGGATGCTGGATGTCTTTCTTGATTATTCCAGGTCTTCCCTCTGGTTGGAATGTGCCATAAGTGTAAAAAGTATTTCCAAAGTCTGGATTTGAGGCTCTATTAACATGGTGCCTCCAATTGTCAATCCATTGAGTTAAAATAAGTCCATTGTCCAGCCTGTTAAATAGAAATCATTCAGTTGCTTTAATATTTTGAGTCCTGATCCCTGCATATAGATATAGTTTTGCTTAAGTTTCTTTTTCTTACCTCTTGCTAGTTGGACATGGACATACTTCATTCTCTAGCCTCACTGCCTTGGGTAAACCAAAGCCTTTGTTGTTTTCTGTCTAGCTTATCCACCACCCACTTTATTTGACCTTATAAACATGTTTAAATAGATTTCCCAGATAATGACCAGTTTAGCTGACAGCTTCCCGTTTAGATATTACAGTAGGCACAGTGCAAATTAGAGGGCAGAGCAAAAGCACTAAGAATCATGAGACCCTAGATAAATATAGTAGAACCACTTGGCCTCCATGGGACAAGGCTGGGTTCTAACCCCAGTTTACCCACTGACTCAGTGAGTGACTCTGTGAATGCAGAGTAAAACAATCATTGGTTTCATCCACTGGTGACTCAGTCATGTTGATCTCAATAAATGGGGGCCACAGAAGGCGTCTGTGTCACAGAGACACCTCATTTCCATCCTGAATGTTTCACTGTTCCCTGAGCTTGTGCTGAGTTCACTCAGGAAAACAAATATTCCCTTTATGTACATAGAAGGGAGAATGGTGTTCATAGGGGCAATGGGCCTTACACAAAGGTATATGATTTTTATAAGCAATGAGAAGAGTCATTTAAAGGTTAGCAGTGGGCAAAAAAGAAGAGCTGTTTAACCCGATATTAAAAGGCAGCTGTTCCAAGGCGACTTTGTACAACTCAGTGCTACCTTATTTTACTGTGTCCTTCCCCCCCTTGACATCAGCAGTATGCCAGTTCTCAAATGATGGGAGCATTCAGCAAGAGCCTGGTGTTCTGTTCTGTGCCTGACTAGCACATTGCATATTGTAGGTGCTCAGTGAGTGCTGAAAGAATGAGTGAAATGACAAAGGGTTGTGTGTGACACTGCAAATGACTTGTTCACCTTCTTTGACAGCAGCCTTATTTGTTAACTTGATTTTCTAAGTTTCAGAATTGTCAAATATTCTTCAAGTCTTCTTCCTGTTTCTTTTTAAAGTAAGGGTTGATTTAGTCAGCATTTCCTGTTACTGTTTGGGCATCTGATGGGTCCTTCAGATTGCAGAAGATCATACTTTTATGACCTGGGAGGGAAATATTTTGGATAATTTATCACTAGTCTTTATTAAATAAGCCAAGCCTATCCTCCCTCCTTATTCCACAGAAATATATCTCTATGATTTCTGAGTTGGAACAAAGGAATGCAAACTTTTAACATAGAAAGCTGTAAAGCAATTTGATGAGCAGCTAGATTGATTTTTGTTCAAAGTATAGAAAACAAATCTGTTTAATAGAGAAAAAAGTCATTTACAAAACAAATTATAAAAAAGTCAACAAACTCATTTTTTTCATTTTGAAGGAGAACAACTCCAAATAATTTAAAGATATTATTATTGATTAGTTAATAAACCATCACTTTCTGTTATACATTTCCTGTATATGTTTTGTCCCGAGTATATTTATGTTCTCATAAAAAGTGTCCAAGGCAAGCAGGAAAAGCGTTATGTACTCTTTGTTCAGAGGTGGTAACAGCCTCACATGTTGGCCTTGTCATCCAAGGTCACGCAGGTGGCAACTGAACTGAACCTGGAAAGCAGGAATGTAGGGTCAGAGTTCAATACTCTTTCTCTGAGGTAGCAGTAAGTCATATGGCCCAAATAAGAATGGAAGAACAGCTAATAATAATGAGACATTTACAGTAGGGTCTAGTTTAGTGAAAACCCAAATCACCTCCACTATTTTCCTCAGTTGCCTAAAATGTTTTAAAAATCAATCTAGAACTTCTATAAAAGTAAGCACTGGGTCTCCTCTAGATCTCCTACCCAGCCAGTTTCTCACATGCAATAGACCCTTAACACACCCTTCATAAATCTCCATGATATCTTGTTATTATCTCCTCTTACCTCTTCATAAGCATATGACAACTTCAAGGTTAATGTGTGGTGTAACACATGGATTGAGCACAGTAAGGAAGCATAGGCTGAAACAATGGTTATTTGTCTTCTTGAATTCTAGTCCTTCATAAAGAAAAAAGAGACAACCAACAGAACATTTGGAATTGGAGGGACTTTGGAGATGTAACTCTTTGGGTTGAAGCACAAGGATATGGAACACCTGCTGATTGCTCATGGGGAGGCAGGAGTGGTCCCCATAGAATTGATGTCTCCTGATTTCCAGAGCTTTTCCCAGTATACCATGTACTGCCTGCCTGGTATATGTGTATATCTGTGTCTCTATATGTATCTATATTCATATCTATATCCATACTCATAAATATCTTCAAATGGGCTGGTTATTCCTGTCTAAATTTTAGTAACATCATGTCACTGAAATTCAACAAAAAGGGGTAATTTCTTTTTCAAATGGTCTATTATCAATGAAATATATTTTTGATTAGCATTTGACCAGTAATTACCATAAGCAACACAAGAAAATTAATGAAGATTATTATGAAATATTAGTTGGGTATTCACTTTGTAAATCCATCAATCAGTAAGTATTTATTACCACCCTCTAATGTGCTGTAAGGCAGTTTACTAAATGTTGAAGGAAGAAGGACAAAAAGAAATACTAGCCAAAGGCCCTGCCTTTAAGGATCTTGCCATCTGTTTGGAATATTAAGATGTATGTGAAATATGAGGTAGATTCTGAACATCTATTAAATGTAACACTTTGGGCCATGGTGCTACCACCTTGTGGTGTCAGGAAAACCTTTCTGGACAAGGATGTGTTGATGTGTTTAAAGGATCAGTGAAGCTACAGTGGGTCAGCGTTGCAGGAAAAGAGGCAAAATTGAATGCCAATTATTCTAATGATTTTCAAGATTTCTTAAAATGCTTTGAGCAGATCAGTTTTTAACCGCAGACTATTAATTGTGCTGTGTATATATTAACTGTATATAGTCTGGGTCCTGGTGTGACTCTCATAAAACCATATTCTGAAAGGTTCCTGAGACAGCCATTGAAAGCAACAGAACAGTCTCTGGCTGAGGACTAGCATCTCTGCCCAGGAGAGTAGCAGACCCTGCCCTGCTCTGCTCGGATCCCCTCTGTTCCGTGTTACCGTTTTGGTGCACCATTGCCCTGGCTTCTGTGTGATTTTGTTCCTAAACTCACACTTGTGACTCTTTTGCTTACAAGCCTCACACCAGAAGCTCCTTAGGGTTCCCATCTCCTTGCACGGCCCTTAGCTGATGCCTGGCTAAGGAGAGAGAGAGTCCATATCCACTGCCTCCATTTGGAATGAACTCAAAGGTGTAATTCCCAGCTCAGAGTTCTCCTACAGGATCAGGGTGAACTGATCCCTTCATGAACTGATTCCTAATCACATTCCTGCTTAGCTTTCTCCTCCTTTCATCATCTACCTTCCTCTACATCCTTATGAATCAAGTATTTATAATCTGCATCTGGGAAAAGTACTCTAAGATAAGGCATTGTGCTTATCTTCCACCCTGAGCTAAAGTCTGGAAAAGGAAAACAAGGTTAGGGTGGGGGGATAATGCTACCCAGTGTCTTTCTGTTTTCCAGGTTCAGAAAATTCCAATCCATATAATGTCTTCCTCCAATTCCCAGAATAAAACAATAGAAGTATGGAGGTGGTAAACTCTGATAACTTGCCCTGAGTAGAAAATAACAAGCCCTCCCTTCCATCTCCAGCATCCCCAATACAATTTGTGTTCATAATAGCAATTTGGAGATAATGATGACCAAAAGCATAATCATAATCACAGCCCTATATCAGTGCTCTGTACCCACACATCCTCTTGCTCACCCCAACAATGTTTATCAGAAGACAGCTTGCCAAAAAGAAAACCACCCTGGGGGCGGGGCACAGAGTTCCAGGAGCCAGCCCATCAAGAAGGCATTTGTGACTTTTCAGGGCGTGGGGGTGAAGTGGAACAAAAGTAGTGTCTGTTTGCCTGCGTCACGGAAACACTATTGGGAGAAATTGCTCCTGATTGGCCAGTGCCAGTTGGTGGAGCCCAGAATTTTAAGGCTAAGTGACTGCCCATCAGGAAGGATATCCGCATGATGAACCCTTCACGGTGACTCCCCCTCTGATTTGTTTCAAAAAGATTGCCAATCTGTGATAGCCTGCACTCATGTGATGATTACTGTGTTGTGTATCTGCTGACACTAATCACATACAGACTTTCCAAAGTTCAACAGCTTTATAGTGTTTCAAAATGAATATGAAGAGCACTTCTGGGAAGAGAAAGTCAACTACTGTGACATGTGGATCAAATCTGATGATTCATCTGAACCTGATCAGCTGAATCTTTACTTTCTTTATGCCCTTCCAATCCCTTAAGAAATAAGAATCATTGTCCTATTGTCTGGTTACTTACACTGTACCTGTACAATAAGGTGAGTTTAAATCCCATGACTTTTCACTTAGCGAGGAAACACTCAGTCTCAATGAGGATTACTAATGTTAACTAATGAGGACTGAATGCTTTGTACAAAAAGTCATATGAGAAGGAATGTCACCCTAAAATGCATTGAATGCCTTGATAAAATTAAAACATACTAAGTTTACCACTGCCCTCATCCCCCATTCCAGCGGAAAATATATTACAGTAAACAAGGTTATTTTGATATAATTAGTTCTTGTGATGGTTACTGAAGGATGACTGGTAGGGCTTTGTAATCACAACTGAAGAGAACTCATCAAATTATAGTTAAAGAAATGAATGAACAAAACATAATGCCATTGATCATCCATTTAAGTCATCATCTTATTTAGCACCTCTCTTTTTAACAATGCTTCCTAAAATGTTATTTACACAAAAAGTTTTTAAAAGATTCTTCTAAGTAAAGATGAAATTTGGTTTAGCCAGAGTTCTTTTGTTTGTTTGTTTGTTTGGTACTGGGGACTGAACTCAGGACCTGGCGCTTGCAAAGCAGGGGCCACACCACTGAGCTAAATCCCCGGCCCTAGCCACTGTCTTGTTGAAAATATTAAACCCGTAAAGTCTATGTTTGTGAGATTTGACAGTTTTAATGTTTCTGACACATATAGGATAGATGCTGTAGATTTGATAAGCTCCATAGGGCAGCTATCGGATGTCCAACCAAAGAGAGGCTACATTTCCTGTGTGTTTCTTCTCATCTATAAGGAAACCTCAGGTGAGTAGGTGACCCAAACACTGGGAAGACAAATAAAAGTACAATAGTTACTTAAGATTAATCATGATTTTCTTCACAACTCATGTAAAAAAGGAGTGAAGACCTGACAAAACAAAGGGAAAAATAGCCAGTGGCTGAGAAATCAACATCTGCTTCAGCAACCTATCCAGAAACACAGCTTATTCTACAGCAGTGATAGATGTGTTTGAGGAGTTGAGGAAACTTCTATAACAGTGGCTAATTCTTGTCAGTAAAAAAGCAGAGACCATTAAAATGTGATTGAACAATGAACACTGTCATCTTCCACAAATTATCTCACTCATGAATCTTTTGACAAGTTCAACCTTATTCCTTTGGGTTATTTTATTCAGGATCAAAGTATCCACTAAAGCACATGCATAATTTTAGAATGGGATAGCACAGCAAACTGACACTTTAGGATATTTCATTTGGTAACTGTGTTCTAAGCACCTAGAGGAAAGCACTATGCTAGGTTCCATGGGAGATGCACGAATGCATCACATATAGCCCTTTGTAGTGAGAGTCTATCAAACTGAGGGACTACGTGAATAATGACCATAGTAGAAAGTGATACTGTAAACATGTGGCTGGCTGATAAAGTTCCAAGGTAGCAACTGTAACTTCTGAATGGTGGAGAAAAAGGAGAATGGTGAAGAATGGGGTGTTGTAGTGGGCCTGGAAGGACTCTAAAGTGAAGATACAGGAAAAACATGGACACACAGGAGTTCCACGGGAAAATGGAGAAGCACAGGGAGAAAATGGAAAAATAAAGAGGTCCTATTTACCTGAGGAAAAATGGTGACAATCTGTAATAGATAGGATGAGAAGCAACTCCTAAAAGCTTTTGATACCAGGTTAAGGAATTTGGAATTTACTACAAATACAGAGAGGATCCTTCAAAGGTTTTGGATGAAGGCAGTGACTTCCAATCAGATTTGTTATTAAGGCAATTTTTCCAGTTTTGATGAGAAGTAAATTGAATGGAAGAGGGTGATAATAGACTTTGGCAGTGGTAAAGATATTTATGTGTCTATTAATATTTGAAGGGACTTAGCTAATCACATGGCAATTGTTCATTTTGATAATTGCATGGACCTAGAGAAGAAAAAATTGAAATATACCAGCACAAGTAACATAGTAAGAGTTTAGGTTTATGCACTTCATCTCACTGACATGTCTTAGACACTGAAGTGATGATATAAGGACATTAGGGCCTCTGAGGGGTTCATGGGGGAGCAGAGATTGCCCAACAGTAATATTGACCAGGCTCAGCCTTTGGCCCAGTGCAAGGGGTTTGCCTCAAACTGGGAAGGCCTCTGCATCTCCAGGACTGGATTCCCAACCACTGTCTGTGGTCCCTGGCTTTCCCTGAATTGGCACCCATTGGTGCCCCAAAATGCCCCTGTTCTATATTTTCCCAATGACCCAGAGTATCATTATTCATGTTGTCTGAGGTGATTTATGAAATCTTTATATGATAGATGAGATCTAGTTTCCTTGGGGAGGGCGCTATTTCTCTAGATAGTTTTCTACTAAGGCAGCTACAATTATACATTTTTGCCAGTCATATTTAGGTCCTTATTTTGTACTTTGCAGATTCTTGGCAGCAGATCTAGAATTCTGGAGGTCACTTCCCCGGCTATTTTGACAATTTTTGAGTAGAAGTTCTGGGAGGCATTTATACCAGGACATGGTATATATGATGGATTCTATTTGAGGAGTGAAAGTAGATGTTGCAAAGGCAGAGTTGCTAGTGGCTGGAGTAATGACTGTGAGCCTGGCGATTCACTCACCCGACTAGATAGACTCTCTTATTAACCTGGGTTATCTATGTATCTATGTATGTATGTATCTGTCTTATCTACCAGCATCTCACAATTAAAAGGAAAAGTTGCACCAACAAATGTTAGCAGATATTTATTCAGTAACACAAAGAATCCAAAGAAATAGAGTTGCTAGAGTAGAGAAAAATAAAAAATTACAAAAGTAGAGGAAAACAGCTTGTTCAGAAAACCTGAAAACTTTAAGGTAAACACTTTCATGTTGATAAATTTGACATTAAATATGTTATCTACTGGTGATTTTATGTCTGTGGATTATTAAGTACTGATATAAAGATGAGGAAGGAAAATAATGTAGTGCTAAAAATTAAGTGGTATATTCAGAGGCTCCTTTGGCTTATGAAACATTTCTGTCAACAAGAGTTGACAGTTTGATACAATCAGAAAAGTTTTAGGAAAAAATTAGCATCAAAATGGGAGTATTAGTTTTATATTGCTGCACAAATTTCCACAAACTTAGTGATTTAAAACAGACTTATTACCTACAGTGCTGGAGACCAGAAGTCTGAAATGGGTTTTAATGGGCTATATTCCTTGTGGTTAAGAGAACCAATCTGTTTCCTTCCCTTCTCCATTTTTAAAGTTTGCTTGTATCTTGATTCATTCCTCACTTTCATATTTAAAGCCAGCCATGGTGATCCAGGTTTTCTCCACACTTCTTCACTTTGACACTAACTCTTGTCTCTTCTACACTCAAAGGCCTCTCATGATTACTTTGGTCTACCTAGACAATGCAGGATAAGCTCTCCATCTCAAGGTTGTTCATCACACCCATATAGTCCTTCTTGCCATATAAGATAATATATTCATAGGTTCCAGAAATTACAGTGTAAACTCATTGAGGGGTCCTTATTATGCCTACCACAATGGATTTGCCACATACTCACAGTTTGCATTTGATCTTAGCCCAGTCTGGTGGTCGACTAAAAGCCTATCTTCTCTCTGAAGTTTGCAATGGAAAGACTGGTTTTATTATCTGTGGAAATGACATAGATGGTGGAAATTAATTTGAAAGGTGGAAATAAATATGAAAAGATAGAATGATGGAATGATGGGATGATCACAAAGAAAGAAAGATGAAAATAAATCTAAAAAAATTTAAAAGTTAAGTTGTCACAGATTGAGAAATATTTATTTTCATTTTTTAAACAGTACTAGGGATTGAACCCAGGATCACTGCACAGAGCTACACTCCCAGCCCCTTTTATTTATTTTTTATCTTGAGACAGAGTCTGATTAAGTTGCCTAGATTGAACTTAAAAGTGTGATCCTCCTGCCCCAGCCTTCCAGAGTCCTGGGATTACAGGTGTGCACCATCACATCCAGCTAACATTTATTTCTTTATAAAATAGTATTTCCTTCTTCCTTTCCCTCTCTCTCTCTCTCTTTCTCTTTCCCTCTCTCTCCCTCTCCCTCCCTCCATCGTGCTGGGGATCACACATCTAGGCTAGCGCTCTACCACTGAACTATACTTCAGCCAATTTTTCAATAAATATTTTTCTAATATGCTTTATGCTAAACTTTAAGACAACAACAACAAATTAGAAGAAAACATGAGCCTTACTCTGAGGAGCTACAAATCTTGAAGGCAAAGTACATATGTGAACAATTAAAGTTCGTACATTCATTTGCTTGAAGGAATAGACTTCCCACTGCCCTCCAGATAAACTGCTTTACTCATAGCCTCAAGTGTGTGTTGATATCTTTTCTGAGTTTTCTTCACAGTGTGCCCTGAACCCATATGCCTGTCCTCAGAAGCAATGAATAAGCTGGCTTGGCTGGAGCTGATGGGGGCATATCTTCTTTAAATCAAGATGAGTAAGGCTCCAAATGTTTGTTATAGAAAGGAGCAGTTACCATACTAACGGTTCACTCAGGAATCTCCCGTTTCTCCTGAATTGATGTTTCCAGGTTCGGTGAGTTAAATTACTGAAGTGCTGGTCAGTTCTAATGCTCATAGGTAAGCTTCATTGTGACATCTCCTTGAAGTCACTCACCAATACCCAAGTTCTGTAGGTCTTGTAGATGGCCATAAAAACCAATGGAGGAAAATTCCACCAGGAGAGAAGCTTTTGCCACGTGTAATTTCAGCGTCAGTTCTTGGGTCATGGGTCCATTTGGAAATGCTTCAACTCCAGCCTACTTACATTATCTTGGAGAAACATTTCCATTCTTTACTCTCACTGACCATACCCTTATTCCCCTTTGATGTCAGAAGTCAGCTGAGTTATTCCAGTTTCCTGTCATCAATGCTTCAACAAAGACCTTTAAGTAGAATGTTTAGAACAAGATGTGTACAAACTTGAAAAGAAAACAGGAAAATTGTTCTAAGATGAAAATAAACTGGCCCATGACCAGAAAGACAGTAGGACTGAATAAAAGGATTCTTCCTCCCCTGCTGCCTTTCTATATTCCTAAGAACCTTTCTATCTCCTTGATCATGGATAATTTAAGAAGAAAAATTTACTTCAGATTTTCTTTTTCTGACTCAAATGTAAATGCAAAATTTTTAAAATTTTCCTTCAGAATTATAAAAATGGAACCTGAAATAAAGGGAGTTACAAAAAAACAATAAATTCTAAAAGCAGTTCTTTGAAAATATTTACAAAGCAGAACAAGAGAAAAATAGAAAAGACCATGGCTACCTGAAATGAAAGTAAACAAAGAGAAAAAGAATAAATTCTAGAAACACTTCTTTAAAATATTTATATAATGGAAAAAGAAAAAGGATAGACAAAGAAAAATCCTTCACAATCCTGTTTAAGGTGAAAAACACCAAAAAGTTTAGGAATGAGGGGCTAGAGATACAGCTCAGTGATACAGCACTTGCTTCTACCACTCAAAGCCCTGGTACCACAAAAAAATAGATAAATAAATAAAAAGTAAAAGGAAGGATAAAGTTATGAATGAGAATGGAAACATATATAGATATCAACAAAAATTAAAGTAATTATGAGACAATTCCCCTATGGCAATAAAGTTGAAAACCTAAAACGAACAAATGGACTGGTGAAGTCTTATCAGACCAACCATGAAGTGTAGACAAAATAAAAACACCACTATTTGAAGGCACTGGAAAGGTCAATTCTGGTAGCCGTTTCTGGATTGACACCTAGAAGAAGGAAACAGCATGGGGTTAGCTCCAGCTCACTTCCACCCCCCTTGTATTCTTGAAAGAAGGTTTCAATTTATACCATATAGAGTGGCAAAAACTCTGAAAGAAACCCTCAGCTTTGTTGCCTTACAAAACAAGAGAACTCAAGGCAGCCACAGACATAAGAAAGGAGGATAATCCTTGGAGAAAGTCAGAAAGAAAAATCTTAACTCTGCACATAAACTCAGATCAAATCTCTAGCTGACCCTGGAACACACATAGAGCAGACTCAGGAGAATGCCATCTAAGATTAAAAAAAAGAATTGGGATTTGCAATGCTACACAAGAAATAAGTGCAGTTGGAATCCAATTAAATAAATTGCTTGCTAAAATTAAAATGTTAACAGTCTTTGAGAAGTTATACAGAATGCAGTGTCTGAAACTTAATATGACAATGTTCAAAACACAAACAAAATTATTTGACCCATTCTTAAGAGAAAGAGTGATCCTAAGATTCTTTGATATTGTAATTAAAAGACAAAGATTTAAAGCAGCAATTATATGTTCAGTGATATAAAAGAAATTATTCAAAATTAATGAAAAGAAAATGTCAGCAGAGAAATAAAAACAATAAAAATAATTGAAAACTACAATACTAAGAATTAAAAATTTTCTAATTGAGAATCAGAACCAAATAGCAGGGAAAGAACTAGCAAATTTAAAGACAGATCAATAGAAATTGTACAGTCCAAAGAATGACAAGAAAACAAAAAAACTCAAAAATTTCGCACAGTACTGAAAGGTTTATGTGTGATTGGAGCTTTAAAAAGAGAATAGAGAGAGAATGGGCCTCTCTCAAAATATTTGAAAAAACAGTGTCTGAAGTATTCCCATTTGTCAAAAGTAAAAACTACAAATTAAAAAAAAACAAAAAACAAAAAATCCACACAACTCGACTAAACCCACGCAGAGTGAATACAAGGAAAAAAATGCCAAGGCATCAAACTGCTGAAAAGGAAAGATAAAGAGAAAACCTTGACCACAGCCAGAGGAAAGTGACACATCAAGTACAGGGAAACAATGTTTCCAATGACTTCTGCCCTATCTCCAGAAAATAATCTTCAAAGACACTGCGAAATCTTTAAAATGCCAAAAAACCATCCACCACTTGTCAAGCCAGAAATCTACACCCAGTGAGCATTTCTCTTGAGAATGAAGGCAAAATAAAGATATTTAGAGACTAGAAGAAAACTAATTTGTCATCAGCAAATCTGTTCTTCAGGAACAAACCAAGGATTTTGTTAGACTGAAATGGAATGATATAGGAGATGAATATGATCTTTAGGGATGAGTGAGAAATAACAGAAATGGTGAATATCTGGAAAACAAGAAAAATTTTCTTCTAATTTTTAGGAAAGACATAACTATTTAGAACAAAAATTACACTTCAGCACTGCCTTATAATGTATGTAATATAAATATTACACACTGAAATATATACAATGACCATGGCAATGTACAGAGTGGAGGAAAACTGCCTTCAACAGTTGCAACATACCATATTGACTCGAAAGGACTCTGATGTATTAATAATATGTATTTTAATTGGTAGTGATCAATTAAATATTATAATAAGGCAAACCACTATAGCTAAGAAGCTCATAAACTGAAGTAGAATTCTAGAAAGACATATCCAAAATAACAAGTCTAGATAAAAAAACTTGAATAGTAATCCAGGTGTGGTGGCGCACGCCTGTAACTCCAGCACTGGGGAGGCTGGGGCAGGAGGATCACTGTGAATTTGAGGCCAGCCTGGGTGATACAGTGAGTTCAGGGCCAGCCTGAACTACAAAGGGAGACCCTGCCTCAAAAAAAGAAAAAAAGAAAAAAAACTTGAATAGAAAGTTTACTAGGAGGTTACTGTATTAAGAGAGAGATTAAAGTTTTCCATTAAAATGTTGCCAGGGCTAAATGGTTTCACAGTGGATTTCTAACAAGCCTATTTTTAAAAAGGAGATAATTCCAATACTATTTACTTTCTTCCACACCGAAGCAACAGAAGGAAATCTCCCCCATCTGTTTCCTACCTCAGCACAGCTTCTGCACAGTTGATTTCAGGGTTTGCCACATATCTTTTGGGGCTCATTTCTGACCTTTCTTGTGCAGGCTCTCCTTTCTTGGTGTTTTGAGGATCCATGTACTCACCTCACCCTACCCTAATATTCTCACGATAATTAGCATTTGGAGGTACAGCAGTCACTCACCTGATACCTCATTTTTGAGAAGTTGTTGCTGTTGGATTAAGTGATTGCACCATTTGCCATGAAGGAATGGAAGAGGGGAAAGAGCAGAGGAGATTAATATGCACCAGTAGCCTACTGTGTGCTGGCAAATCCACCTAGTATTCTCTACCTCCCCTAGGGGGCAGTAGCATTATTCCTGCCTTTATAGATATAGAAACTGAAGGTCAGAAGGGCTTAAACAAAACACAGGACAAACACAAGTCCCACCTACTGGGAGGTCCTACAGTTAATGAATAACAGGTCTAAAACTGGAAACTACAGCTTCAGACCAATCTGGTCTGAATGTGGCTTTCTACTTTATCCCAATAGCCAGAAAGATTTTTTGCAACACTGGATGGAAAAATTCCTGTCTTCTTATTCTGTTACTTCTAGAAACTTGGAGAAACATGGCCCTTTTTTAGTCCTAGCGTAGGCTCTCTCCTCCTTCTAAGAAAGCCATCATTTCCTGTTAGAAACATCATTAGGTGGATTGTGTAAGAAGTGGAATTACACTTTTGTAATACCCAAGAGCTCACTTCTCCTCTCTGTGCCCACCAGCCCACACTAGGGACCCAGGGCCATCCTTCTGAGCTACATCCCTAGCCCTTCCCACCCTTTTTGAGACAGGTTCTCATTAAGTCACTAAGTTGCCCAAGTTGGGCTGAAACCTGTGTTCCTCCTGCCTCAGCCTCCCAGAGTGCTGGGATTACAAGCGTGCTCCACCACGCCTCGCTCCCTTTCTCTGCCTTTCAGCCTCTTGTCTCTCACCTCACTACTGGTGCTCTTAAAGTAGAATTTAGAGTTGCCAGCACTTTTATTATTTTTTATTCAACAACAGCAACAATAAATTTGTAGATTGATATTTTTGTGCTAAACACAGGGCAAGCTGCTTGGGGATGCTTGGGGATACTGTGCTGTATCCTTGGGGATACTGTTGCTTACATTTTAGTGGAATAAAATTATTTAATGCAGGTGTACTCAATCCTGGCTACAGTAGGAATACTTGGAAACGTTTTTGTTTCCCTTTAATGCATGGGTTCCTCCTACAGATTCTAATTTGGGAAATTGGGGGTGGGGTATGGGCATCAACACGCTTTTTGAAAATCTCTGCAGACAATCCCAAAGAGCAAACATATCATTTTAATTTAATTTTTCTTCTTTTGGTACTGGGATTGAACCAGGGCCTTCACACTGAGCTACATCCGCAGTCACTGTTATTATTTATTGTTTTTTATTTTGAGACAGAGTCTAGTTACGTTGCCCAGGCTGGGCTTGAACTTGCAATCATCCTGCCTCAGCCTCCTAGAGTGCTGGGATTATAAGCATGTACCACCACACCTGGATTACATCAATTTAATATGTTACCCATCAAAGGATTTAATAAAAGGACATTAGGGTGTTTGCCAAAGGAATATATTCCAATAACAAATGTCAGATATTATGGCTCTTGGGCAGAAGGGATACTTTGAGCTGAGAGTCCCTATCTCCACCCCTCATTCACACTAGGTAGCAGCTCAAGTTCTGCCGATGACCAAGATCAACTTGACCCCA